ATAGGTACACTATGACAAATTACAAATCCAAGATGGTCGCCATCATAGGAACTTAGGATAATGTTTCTAATGATACCCTATACATTCATATCCGTTATATCTTTCAAAAGTTATGGTGCAATAAAAAAACTCACATACATACATTAATTCTAAAAACAATAGACTCCTTTTCGAGAGCAGTCGTGTTTAAATATTCGGGAATCGATAATGAATCTCACCATAGAAATACTAAAAAAAATACAAAAATTGGGAAAAGTATCAAAATAGCTTGGTCGTAGTTTCAACACAGTATTGTGGACTCGTGACCTTGAACAAGTTGTCGAGAACTCGGAACGCTTCAAAATACCTAATCTCACAGAGTGAAAATTTGTCATATGGCTCTTAATGTTCCATGACAATCTCTTCCTACGCAGTAAGTGCACAAATCTGTACATTGCATACCACATTTTTTACAGGTGCAATTTCGACAGCAAGATACTTTACACCGACAAGATATTGATATATTTTAATCCAGTATATTTTATTTAAAAAATTAATTATCTGTAGTTATAATTCATTAACTATCTTTACAGCTGTGGCATTAAGGCTCCTGGTAGTGTAAAGAAAGACATCAGCTTTCTTGTTTACCAAAATAAGAAAATGAGGTATTAAGGTTGGCTTATTGCAAAATCATTTTTTGTCATAAGCTTAATATAACTGGCAACATTACGAGACACCTATTATGCCAGAGTGGTAAGTGTAAGTTTTACGCTAACGCGTTCCTAGTGAGCGCGTTAAGAATTTGTATGGAGATTTATACTTCTTGGTAGTTACCGCTAGAGGCGCTGTACCGGATTCTATACTAAAATCTTAACGCGCTCACGATCGACAGTGAACGTAAACATCAAAAAAACTTACACTAAGCATTCTGGATCATGCCATACCTTACGTTCCGCACCCCGCGCTTTCTCCGCAAGCCCTTTGTAGTAGTTTAATATGATAAAACTTTTATTTAAAGTATTTCTGAGTGGATTTTAATGATATTTAGTAGAATACGTGTTTGACTCAAAAGTCTGCTGCATATATAGCGTGTTATATTTTTGCTTCATAAATAATTATTAGGTTACTAGCTGACCCGACAGACTTCGTCCTGTCAAAAAGATTTGTAATGTGGCAGTTTTTTTGCCTACGTATTTAAAAAAATTCTCCTGAACAGAACCGTCACCCTGGTGATAGGGCGTTGTGAATAAAAAATAATTAAATAAAACATATATAAGGATTTAAAAGTCCTTATAATCGCTTTATTGTTAATCATGTGAATCATAATTATTATTGCAATGTATTAATAGTAATAGTATTAAATATAGAAAAAAGAGATTTTTATGATCATAAAAACACATTACACACAACAGCATTATAAAAGTAAACTATTCGAATTAAAAAAATATATAAACATTCTCAAGGAAAAATGCTGGAAGAATCCATCTACCTGTACCCCGGAATGGGACTCGAACCCATTCGCGATCCAGGGACTGCTCTAACCAATGAGCTATCTAGGACCCAACAGCTTTGCTACTACAGAGCGTATTTTCATCAATGTTCCGGCAATACATGTAATGACGTGGAAACTGATGCATTTTATCTCGCGTGCCGAAACTAATACAAAAGAAACGCGAGTTTCGGAACGCGACATTAAACTCCTCCAACTATGTATTCTGTGCTCCAACGCACACACGCACATTGTTTTGATAGATATGATCTTTGACGTTAGGAACACACCTACATTGCTTAGACAACAGTGAGTGCTTGTAATTTAATATGAACTTTATACCATAGCAATAAAGCTCAAATTGACTACGTTTTAGTTACAAATCATTTGTATGGGAAAAAGAAAAGGGCTATTTTTAGGGTTTTTCCAGCAATAATTCTAATTTTTCTCGCCGTAAAAACCATCCTTGAACTTCAACGAACATTTTAAAAAAAGATTTGGCCAAATTGGTCGAGGCGTTGTTGAGTTATGCGCTTACCAACACATTTTGCGATTCATTTTTATATATATAGATTGGTATGCAATATTCTCATGGAAATTTTCATTGGATTCAAAACAAAATATACTTAACGCAATATAGTAATATCGACTGAAGTCGTATTTCATTGTTAATATTATTGATTTTTTATAAATATTTTTTAAATATATATTGTCCGTGTTTCTATAAAAATATGAGTTTCCAAATATAATATTAGGAGAATTTATGTATTTCATGGAAGTACCATAAGTAACAACGTAAAAATACGTAGAAGTCACTTTATATGTATTTTGCTTATCATGCCATTGAGAAATTAAAGGAATATTATTTTTTTTACTAATAATCCGAAAGAAAATGTCGATGGATTAATTCATATTTTAAAAAGGAAATATATGATACCTTCATAATAAAAAAAAAACAGCTGTTATGTTTTAATGTTTGATCTCCATACTGGAAGTTGCTATTTGTATCAGGCTACTAGTGATTAACATAAAGTTATTTGCTATCGATATTGAAAAACAACAAGTCGATTAATTGAAAGGATACTAGATTAATGATTTCTTTATATTATATTGGATATACATTGAATTGTATTGATTAAATGAGACATTATCTTTTTTCTTTAGATATAAATTCTTAATTAGTTGGTTGATTCAATAAGAAATATTTAAATTACTAATGAACTAACATTGAATCGGTACAAGTCGAGCTTAAATATATGCATATAATTATTAATAATAATAGTAGGTTTTTTTTTACGTTACGTTACTCGATTTCGTATCAAGTAAACAGATAAGATCGGCAACATCGCTTAAATGAAACTAGTAATATTGACAAACAATATATTGTAAATAAATATATACAAAATAAAAAAATACTATCAGTACAATAAATGCTATTGGAACTTATCCTGAACAGACTCCGATGATTTAAAAAGTATTGTTGTTAATGGTTCAAAATAAAAAAAACTAGTTTTCTGTTTCAATATTAAGTATATAAAAACAGACTTATTACCACACTCATTATTAAATTAATATACATACGCATTCCAAACGAAGTCAATATGGTTAATCTCTGATAAAATTTATTTTTTATTACCACTATTTTTATTGTCCATACTTTTATTTAGTTTTTACTACCTAACATACCAAGAATCGATTACATGTTTCCAGGCACTTCACTACCCATCTACCGTAATCTATTATGTTGTTATTTAAAACGGTAATTTCGCGATATTCATTACATTACGTGCTTAGTACGACGCAATGTAATAAATATGCGCACTTCTCCAGCAATGTATATTTTCTTGGAAATATTTTTTGTGATTCACACTTTTGATAACATTTCACGATTTTCGACTAAAAATACTAAATTTGAGAAGTGTTCTACTTAATAATGGAAAGAAATCCTTGCTTTGGACCAACTTGAGGATGGGCTTCTTGTTTTGCAATTAATAACTGCGAAAGTCGGCATTTTTAACACTTTTAGTGGCGTGTTTCACAGTACTTACAGCGCGCGCGTTCGTGAATGACTAAACATCGCGATCGCGTGGTGAAGTCACGATCCTGTACATTTGTCTAGGATCGTGGCTGCACTGCCACGCCCACAAGGCCCTTCTAACGTCTTTCTGTGTTCTGTGGTTTGCGACAGCGCCGACGTTCGGTGTGTATGCAAATATAACTATCGGAATAAAAATTAATCTGTTGGAATATCATATTATCGGGTTGTAAATGTGATTGTACAATGTCTATAATTAATTTAAGCACTAACCCAGTGCCGAAGCTCAGTGTAGCCTAGAGTATACTCAGAAATTATCACAGAATATACTCTCTGGTATTATGTTCCTTGGTTATCGCAGTGTATGGTGCCGTATTTGAGTATGCGAGGCGTTATCTAGTTGTATTCTTGATCGAAGGATTCCATCCATAGAGAAGACCTGAGCCCCAGCAGTGGGGACTTTAATAGACTGATGATGTCTGATTAATATACAAATACAGTATAATAATAGTAGTAATTCAATTGCAGTCACATAAAGTCCACGGAGGATATAAGCTCTGGGTATTCAAGCGCTGATAATTCCGCGTCACTTACTCGTACTGGTTCAGTGGGCGCAGCAGCTGCTGGGAAAGGGCGAGTGCGAGCTACTCGCACTAACACTGTCACAACTATCAAGCGACCGCAAGCAGCCGAGGTCTGGTAACATTCATATATAGATTGTGTTAGGTGCTGTCGTTGAAAATCATTTGTTTATATGAAAAAAATCGTGAAATTTTTGTTTTGAAAAATATTATAATCAGTGATCAGAATGATAAATTATGATAATGAATTGAAAATAGATCAGCAGATGTTTATTTTTTTTAAATAAAAAAGGATGGACCGACAAGTCTAATAAGTAAACTAGTTTTAATTCTAGTTTGCTGCATGGAAGTAGACAGTAAAATCGAAGATTTTTAATCTCTCATCTCAGTTTAGACTTTCAATCTCTATTAAGTTAAACTCTGATCACTGATCATAATGTCCATATGAAATTCAGTTTTTGTTACGAAGGCATATTTCCAGAAAAATAGAATTTTTGGGATTCTAATATGCCTTCCGTAGTCATTCGTTTTCCACGTCGATTTTATAGAGTCGAGGTTACAGGGTTCGATTCCCTGCCGGGCTATTGAAGAAAACGAAATTTTCTACAACCTCTGTAGAGAAAAGGCGTGTCAGGTTACGAAGCTCTAATTTTTCAGTCTATTTAAACTTTAAAAAAATAATAAGTTCGGGAATTTTAATTTGTGGTAACCCGAGCTGCTGCTGTACCTTCGTCGTTCCAATTTTAATAATATGAATTCTTTAATTTAAAATGTATTTTGCGATGTAACGAATCAGACTTTTGTCAAGCTCATTTGAATTTGATATATAAAAATATCAATACAAATCTATTTGCAATTATTTTTAATGAACTGTTGGTGACGAAAACATAGGCTGTAGATCAATAGAATGAAATTTTAAAACTATTTTTTCAAAATCAATTTAGATAATAACCCATTCCACCCATTTGTACTTAAATTTATTTCATTTTCGACCCATTTCAACATCTCACCTGTGCTTTATTATCAGTGATTGCAATAGATAACGTTGTTAGTAAGTGTTGTAGTAGTATGGACATGTTTATGATTCCTGAATTTAAATAGATAATGTTAATAAAGCCTAACAAAGGAAACAATTTCGATTGTTTTCTAACCATAACCATAAATAAATTAAAACTCCTTTATTTTGTTTATGAAAGTTCTAGATCATTTTGAAATCGCGTATCCCTAAATCACATCCATATTTTGACATCACATCATTTGTTTTGACTGCAGAGGCTCCGATATATAACTAGCTTTATGTACTCATTATCTAAGGTTACATCTATCTTAATAAATCGGTTGTAAATCGAGATTGCATCTGCATCATTTACTGAAATAATTGTAATATTTCCGAATAATATTTTATGTGCTGATTTATTTCGATGGTTTCAATTTATCAATCGTATTCGTTATTTTTTCCATAACGCCTTAAAATTTGTGTAAAAATCAGATCATCAAATGTATTATAATGTTATAAGAACACATTGTAATTATCTAAATTTAAGATATCTATATTACACATTATCATAGTTTGTAATATGACAAAATTTCATATATTATGTATATTAAAAAGAATATCATTACATTACGAAAAAAGGAATGTGTTGATGTCACTATTTATTCGGTTGAAAAAGTATATTATATGGTGCATTATACTGTAGAAATGTCTTTTTGGGTAAAAATAAGACCTTATGTGAAGCCTGAAGGACCATTCTACAATATTCAAGCAGGGTTTGAATGGTGCTTCTATGAGGTTGTTTACAGAATAAGAGAGATTGGCATATTTATACACAGTATATCTATTATTAATAAATATGGTAATGCAGCTCAAATCGATTATATACTATGAGAGAATAAAGCATAGTTTGATGAATTTAAATTCATCTTTCAAAATTGTATGAACATGGAATGAAAGAATTTATCAGATAAAAACTTGTATTTATTTAGATAGGTATAAAATTGTTAGCTTTTCATTTGTGTGTATGCATTTGTCATTTGCTTCTATTAGGTATATTTATCTTATCATTAATTTTTTCACTTTCTTGTAAGCATATTTATTGCATGTTTAGAGTTCATGTTTTTAATACTCTTTACATTTTTATTTAATGTCGCGGGTACCAGTATAGATGTCTATAAGTCTGTTTTCGCATTTATTAGTTTATACCCAACTCTATTTAGTTTTCTTACGTTTGATGTAGACTAAGGACTTTTTATTTAAAGGAAAGTGAAGTAATCATCGAGGAGCTACAGGACGACGATTATTTTGACTATGCGAATATGCCCCCTCTGGTCAATGTTCCTTCTCCAATATACTTATCCCATACAAACCCCCCGTTCATATACAAATATGTAGGAGATCAAGTAAAAATTCTCCAAGTGATAGGCAATTACCAGTTCGATCCGAAAGTAAATGATAAAATGGAAGCTACATTAACTTTAGATCAAACAAACTCTTTACGAAAATTTTCACAAGAAACTGTCATACAAGATATAATTAAGCAATCAGAAAACGAATATGTAGTCAAAGAAAACTTTACACATACTCCTGAACCGGGCGAGAAACGTGAGAGTAATATTAAATATGATAATCTCAATGAACCTATAGAATGCAAATCTGAAATTGTCGAAGAAACTATAGAATCCAAAGTTGAAGTCAAAGAAATTGAATCTAATACAAAAACAGATATCATACAGGATATTGCATCGACAAACCTCGAGAGATCAATAGAATTTAAATCTTCTGAAATTGACAAACAAAATGTAGAACCTAAACTTGAAGTCAAACAAATCGAATCTAATACAAAAACTGGCATACAAGATATTGATTCGACAAGCCTCGAGATATCAATTAATGAGAATCTTTCTGCTGAAAGTGATGATGAAGCATCTTTTGGGACTCCAGAAGATTCTCCAAAAATGAAACGTAGGTCCCCTAAAGGAAAATATGGTAAAGCTAAAGCGCCTCCACCCCCTAAGTTAAATTTACCAAAACAAAATATAGATCAAGATAGTATCGAAAACGAATTTGATGCATACACAACATCGCAGGAAAGTCTAAACGATATTATTAACCAAATGCCCAAAATAGCAGAAAATAAAACTAAAGGAGGTGGACTTCAAGTAGTTAATCCCATCGCTGAAAAGAAAAGACGCCATAAATCAAAATCACCGGGACGAATCCCAAAAAGCCATAGTTCAGGCTTGGGTAAATTACTACAGTTGCCTAACAAATTTGTATTTTGGAATAAAAGTGATGATAAACCTAAGGCAGATAACTATGTATTGGACAGTGTATCTACTTCTGGAGACCATAGTAGAAGGTCTTCAACTATTGAAAAACAGATGGACGATTACCAAAGCTGTCTGGATCTTGATGCTATCATATCTAGTGAATGTAATCCTTCGCTAGTCGATGATATGGCAAGTGCTCGAAGCAGTTTAAAAGATGCGACAGATGTCGATAACGAAATCTTATCGAACGATATAATCGAGAAGAGTGATGCTTTGCAGAAAATTATAGAGGCTAAAATAGAGAGTCATCCTGAATATAAGTACGTTTCACTTCACGAAGAAATACCAACAACTTCCAAAAGTACCGATGTTTAAGAAGCATTCCCTAAATCTTGGAACCATTAGTTTGCCGGATTCAAGCAGAAAAAGTATGTAGTGTAGTGCTGTATCGTGTTATGTATTGATATTTGCATGGTGCCTGGTTTTCTATTAGATTCTTAAACAAATCTTAAACATTTATTGAATTTACGTCATTACAGAATGAGCTTCAAATATAAAAGAACTAATAATTAAAAAAAACTCCTTCCAAAAAATTACCTTTACATTTATTACTGGTGTTGTTAATCAGTGTATTCTTATGCTATTTTTTTGTTTTTATTTCTTCTGAGAGTGTAACTGATTGTCTTTTAACACTTTTTTAGTTGTTTGAGTTTGTATGTGTGATGTGATTTGGTATAATAGACCACGTCTATTTATTTTTGAAGACTAAATGTGACGACATTTCAGTTGTAGTTAAATTTCACAATTTTCACCTAGATAAATTATAAAATATAATACTTACGCAGCATATTAACTTCCAATTGAAAATGTCGTCGTTAGATATGCTTGAGCTTTTTTGCATTAGTTTACAATTATTTCTTTTATTTTCAGGCAATGCTGTCGGCCTCCGCTACAATACCCCGCGCAAAAAAATCGAATAAAAGGAAAACGCAATGAACTTTTTAAAAATGACAGTAATAATATAATGTCGAATGTCACTGTTAGATAGATATAGAGCGATTTTAAAAATAATGCTCTCTATAGATTCAGGAGTTTGACAAAGAAAATAGTAGACTTCAATTAATTTCATTATTAATTGACAGTGTATTTCTATGCCATATTCAAGTATATACGTTTATGATCTTTCTACTCGTTGTAATCATATCTATTGAAGTTTTACTTGATCTCATTCATAGAGATGAATGTTATAATAACAGCAAAAAAATGGTAACAGTTATTTTTTAAACTTCCGTACGATAAAAGAATACACAATACAAAATTCTTAAGCACAAATGCTCAAGTGTTGAAAACCAGATATAATCATGGTATTTTGCGATACTATTATATTTCCGCAATGATATTTGTAACTAAACGCAGCATTAAATGCAAAAAAAAAAAAATTGTTACTTCTTAAAGTTTATGAGAACTGTATTCTCAAAAAAAATATTATACTTGATTCTTTTTTTCTATTAATATTTTGAACAAGAGTACCACAGACATTACACAGAGCTTGTTTTTTGCATAATTATTAATATATATACTCAATTTATTAGTATTTATATATTAGTATGATGGTTATTATTAGCCAAAAATTGCCAAAATAACTAAATGTCTCAAAACTAGTAAATTATTTTTTAATTAAATTTATTATTAGCATTTTAGCTCTTAGAAAAACTAGTCCATAGTATTTATCGCTTCTATGAGGCTTCATATCAATACATCTAAATAAATGAGAAATGTGACTGTGAAGATGTCATTTTTAGTTTTCCAACAAAGGATAAGACTTTATTTGGTTCCATTTTCACTAAACATTGTTATTAATCTCGTAAAGGTTCCTGACACACAAACTTATCAGATTATACCTTTATTATTATATGGTTTCACACCAATTGGGCGAATAGTTATGATGCGCCATTCTTGAAATTAAATACTTTATAATTTTTTTGAAACATTGATGCTATAAGATTTATTGCAATTTTGAAGTGTATCACTGAAAGAATAAGACTCATTCCAGAACTACGCGGGGCGGTTTTGTTTGAAAGAGTGTTATAATTAAATAAAACGTTTGTAGCAATTTAAATCTGTATCTCGTTTATGGTTTAATTACAAGTCTTTTGCAACGGTCATATTTTATAGGTAGAACGGTAGTTAGTGCTTTTTCGTGATCTATTTGTTAATAATATTGAACTGTATTTCTAATCGAGTAAACTTTTGGCTCAAAGGACAAGCGAATATATAAATATATATATTCCTAGTCCCACTTGTGCGAAATCATCCTATATATGCACAAAGTTGATTAATATTGTGGCTGTTACTGAATAAAAGCAATTCCTGCACCCGTAGCATGACGGAATCGAGAGCCTAGAAACTTTTCTAGCTAGAGCGAAATGTACAGAGACAGAGACCTCGTGAAAAAATGTGAAATAGTTTTTTCTTTGATACTTTTATTTATATACCGTTGATGCTTCAGTATGTAAAAGTATTTAGGGTATACATCGCTCAGTACAGTATGGTAATGCATGGTGCTAGCAGCGTGATACAAAGTTCCAGCGATTGAATATATTCTACTAAATAAAAGTTTGAGTATTTTTTCTTAACTAATAATTAGATAATGTTAAACGATTACGAAACTCTTTTGGAGCTGATTTTCACACCAATATTGAAGTACTTAGGAGCTGCCTCGTTTGACAATTGTGCCGTCTGAACAGTTCATTATACTTTTTTATATTGAGAATAAATTTCTGCCTTATTTTTATTTATTACGAAACAACTAATGCATCTTTACCATTATATGTTTTTCACATTGCGCCGCCGCCATCAGATGTACTGTGTATTGCGATATATCCTTAGTACTTCCATACACACTAAAGTATTAACCTTAGGAAACTCTTTCTCATTTTTTGGCATAAACTTTTGTACTATATGGACACACACGAGAAAAGTAACATCTCTTTGTTGTCAAAACGTTTCTATGTTCGTCATGTTAGGCAGGCTGAGTTTCTCTGTTTAAAAAAATATAGTTTAAATGAGTTGGGAAGTTGAAATGAACTCTGTGCTGTTTGTGAATTTCAAAATGAGTCTAGTATGGGGAGATTGCTTTGGGTACATAGCAAGCAAGACTCGGTCGTATAGAAGCAAATACTCCAAATAAGATTATATTAAACTGAAATTAATGTACCACAATACTCGTAAAAAAATGTTTGTGATAATTTATATTAGCCAGTATTCATATTAGTTATCTAACATTGACCTGTTGGGGAGAAATTGATTTTAATATAAAAAAGTGAGAATGAATGAAGTTTGTTGAATGTTACAAATCTTATCGAGTTGGTAGAATCTCGTGTTTCTCTTGGTTCCTCTTTGTTTTTGGTTTTGTAGATATTATTGTAAAGTACTACTCGTACTAATCAACATGACACCTAGAAGCCCTATTCTATTTGTTGTTGATTTAAAATTTGGAAAATTTCAATTCTTTCTTATGATTTTCCATTAATATTATCGGAAAATGCGTGTCTTTGGAGTCATGTTATGTTATGTATTAGCAATTCGAAAATTGATGAAATTTCGTTTTCGCAGAAATATAATAGGCGTCTAGTGTCATGTTAATACGTACAAGTAATGAGGCTATTTTAATTGTGCTAAATTGTGGTCAATTCGAAATTCATTGCTGAATAATTATTTACAAAATCCTGAGCTATTTAAAAATTGTGTCGTCTATTTAGCACAGTTTAAATATCCTTTATATAATTTTGAATACAAGCATACTGTAAACAGTATTATATGTAATATGTAACAATGTGAAGTATTTGGTTTGTTGGATGCTCCTACAATATTCTATCATTTGGTTAACTGCATTTTGTACTGAATCAAAGTTACCCATATGTTGTGATTGTTTAACAATAGTTTTATATTTACTACTGTGTGCTGGGTAACCAAGACATAATTAGTTTGATTTTATTAAAATAAACACATGTAAATTTATATTTTTCTTTTATTTGAAAACAATTATAAAATTCCACCAACTCTTAACCTCAATGTATCAAAAATGTATTTGCAATGATCATTCTTGTATTCATTATTCATTAACTGCTGTTCCAGTAAGTTGAGAGATTCATGATCCCAATTCTTTATCCAGTACAGCAATGAAAAAAGTTTATAATATGAACTCGAATTCTCATCATCGCATATAACTAACTTTGGCAGATTTTCTATTATTTTTAATAAATTCTGCTTTATAATATCATTGAACATTACATTATTTTTTATAGCAAAAATGTGAATTATATTTACTGTCTCCATTGTTATTGTGTTTTCCAGCAAAATGTTTGGTAAAGTTCTAATCCAGTCCTTAAAATCATTGCGATTTTGAAAATTAATTAAATTGTCATTCAGGGCTACTTTACATAACAAGCCAAATATCTGTTGCTTGAAGGACATACATAATGCTGTGTTAAAATATTCTCGTATGATTTTGCTAAACAAGGAATCCATGATGGTTATACTTTTAGTCCAACTATTTCCTTTTGTAAAGATTGTATCAAGAATATTTATGATCATATCTTTTATTGGCTCTGAAGCTGAGTTACTGAAATTCTTTTCAATATAGCCAATTACTGAAGAAAATTCTTTACTTTGGTTTTTCATGTTGACATTTGGATTAAGGTTCACAAACAAATGACATATTGTTAAATTTTCTGCAACCATTTTAGGGTCCGATATAACATCCTCGAATGGTGAAATATTTGACTTGATCTGTTTTGTTCTTACATTAGTGACATATGGAAATGAATTCACCAAATGTTGAGTGAATAATTTTCTATTCTTTTGGCAAAATATCTGTTCAATATTAGAGCTGGGGTTCATCACATTTAAATGTTGAACAAGTATATGTAAATGTGAAATTACTTTCAATGTATGTTTTAGAAGTGAAGCTGCATCTTCATTAACAACTGTTTCAATATTCATTACTGATGTTGCCTTAGGGCAAACCTCAAGCCATGTCTCATATAGTAAAGGTATCAAAGTGGTAAAGTATTCTTTGAATTTTTCCACTTCATCAAATAGTGTGAAATCTTGAGTGCTTTTGGCAGAAAAAGATGAAACATGGCATATTGCAGTACTAACAGGATTAAAAAGTGGATAATAATTCATCTGAGTTTCATCAAAATTATAACTCTTTACTGCTTTAGGTCTGTTATTTGCATTAACCATATTATCATGAATATATTTATTAAGAAAATCCTCCAATCTATGTAAAACTTTCACTCTCCATTTGACACTGGTAATTTGACTACTAAGATTTACTGTGAGTGTTCTACCTGGTTTAGAATCGACTCTTAATTTAGATATCATATCTAAAAATATTGGCAATATCTTATGAAAGTCACCAATTACTTTTTTAGGTGTACATGATAATAGTAAATCTAGAAAAAGAAGAGAATCTTCCTGTATTCGTGTATCAATATGAGTCATGGCACTTCTTAAATATGTAGACATTATATCAAAAAATGGGTCTACTTTATCCAGATCAATATGAGTCAAAACCGAATGAAGAACTTTCAAAGCTTCATGACGTACCTGAAATGGAAAAAATGCATATGCAACATGAAACACTAGAAATATTTGTTGTATATCTGTCAGCAACATTATTAGTAATATTCTGTAACTTCAAATAGTTTACTATTAAAAAATAAAAGTTTGTTAATTTTATCCAAAAACTTCAATGTCATATACATAGAAGCCTTGCATTAAATCTGCTTATTATTTAAAAGAATCCATGTAACATTAAAAAAACTTGTAATCTTACCACTTTTTCTATATTAAGCACTAAAGGAGTAACACCCAATATAACTTGTCCAAGATTTTGAGATACTGCATCAGAATTACTACTGATTATTTCTTTTAGGCCCTCGAGAGCTTCAGTCCTTGAATTTTTGTTAAAATGGTTCAGACGTGACAAAAGTTCTTTTATATTGAGCTTCTTAGTAGACAAAATTTCACTTGTTCCATGTTTTTTCAACTGTTCTTTGATAACAATTTTTTTTACTTTAAAGTTAGTTTTAGTTACATTAGTGCCTTTGGGTAATTCTTTCTTTTTAGCCTTTAATTTTGTTTTGGATTTCTCGGACTTGAGAAACTTTTGATATCGTGTTGCGCCAGTTTGAGGCATTATTATATTTCTCTATTAGCTAAATCAGTTATTCTTCTTCTTTCAAATGTGAAATGAAAATTAAATGAATTGAACACGGCCAGCTATATAGGTTATTTTTTCCCTTTAATAAATAAGTTACTACTTAAAATAGACTTAGTATAGTAGGTATCTACTTAATGTTCTCTCTCAAACACGTAATTTGTGTTTCTTCTTTAAACATATTGTAGGTTAGGTTTGTTTTTTTTTTGTTAATAAAATTATAGTATCAGCCCATACAGCCTTATTTTCACGTTTTCATTTATCTACACAGACGAATAAGAGAACTAGTTCTTATGTATGACCGCTAACTACGTAGGTAGGACTATGTGCATAGGCAGCAGGGTGGACATTAGCGATTTGCCGAGTACGGTTTGATTCGAGTCAGGCTCGATTTCTGCTTTAGACTCGCGTACTCGAATACCAATTAATTTTGATTCGAATACGCCGTACTCGACTCCGATACTCGAGTCAGGAAGAATCGATTTTGTACTCGTTGACTCGATTCTATTATAAGAGTCCAACAGACTCGCAAATGACCTTTCCCTCTAAGCAAGCTCTGAAGATGAACTCTAAAAATGTGGATAAAGCGTCAATGAAAAGGGTATGCATTGATTTTCAAATCGCTTCAAGTTGTTGAAAATAAAGGTTTTCAAAAGTATACTCGTATGCTTAACCCTAATTACGAGCTACCTTCGCGGGAAATTCTTTCGGAAAAATTGATTCTGGACAATATTCAATCGCAAGAAAGGCTACGCAAGAGATGCTTAAAGCAACCGATTATATTACTTTGACAACAGATTTGTGGACCTCCTATAGCGGCAAAAACTACATGACCCTGACGATACACTTCATTATTGAAGACAATTTAAATCTTTAACGTTATCCACTAAGGAAGTTAGAGATGCCCATAACTCCAATTTTTAGATTCGAGTCCTGGATTCGAGTCAACAATCGAATACCAAACATAGAACTCGAGTTTTGCTAGTGGACATTGTTGTACGGAGAAAAAGTTCTATGCATCTTTGCATAGAATTTTTTCTTCTAAATCACAAAAATTATCACAGAGTTTTAGTTCGATATGTTCGGAAAAAAAAATATTAAAGTGAAACTTTAAATGTTGCTATTAATATATATTGCACAAAAACATACATAAATACTGTAGGGGTAATTTATGAAATCGAGTGACATACTAGTTAATATTTGTTTGAAACTATGATGAATTTCGACTTGGTTGAATTTATAAATATATATTAAATACATTAGTGTTGAGGACAATTACTATTATTGATAATGCGTAACTATAGCGCTTTGTTTTATATTGGTATGCTATGAAGAAACTGAAAATATAAGTCAAATTATTCTATTATATTTTTACATATTTTGTCAGTAGATAAAACTAGGTATATTGAATACCTAAGTTGGTCAAACCGTTAAAAAGCCAGTTTTGGAAATAAAAAACGATATAGAATTAATCCTGTTGATATTCTATTAAACAAATATCACCTACACTTTTTTACGCCTTGGTAGACTTGATATGGAATTTCGGGCGGCTTTAATATTTATTAATCAATTATCGTCTAGCAATATCAAACATTAATATTTACAATCATATTTAATGCAGAAACCTTTTATTAAAATACCATCCCCTAGCGTACTACGTATCACCTCTCACGTTACAAACCTTCCTTGGACTACAACTGACATTTCAACACGTATATCAGCCAAATCGGCTCAGCCGTTCTCGAGTTTTAGCGAATCTTATATCTAAAAAAATGTTTTTAATAGTAGCGATATATATACATAAACAGCCTAGTATTAATTCAGATCTTACAACATTGAATATATCTATAATAATATTAAAATTAATAGGAAAGATTTTATTGTTTGTTTGCAATCCAATTAATCCTGAAACTACTGAACCGATGATAACAATTCTTGCACCAATGGGATGCTTCATCAACATCATACGCGGATAACATATGTAAGCTTTAATTTACACGGGCGAAATCGCGGGAAAACAGCTAGTTCATTAATATTGAGATAACTCAATACATAATTATTAATTAACTAGCTTTTGCCCGCGACTTCGTCCGCGTGGTAAAGTTACTTTGAGCAGCATTTCATTATATCATGTAAAATACCTGAAATTAAGTTTCATCCCCTATTTTATCCCCTTGGGGTAGAACTGATAAAAACCTTTCTTAGCGGATGCCTACGTCATAACATCTACCTGCATACCAAATTTTAGCCCGATCCGTTCAGTGGTTTGGGCTGTGCGTTGACAGATCACTATGTCAGTCAGTCACCTTTGAGTTATATATATTTAGATAATAAGCATTAATCAATTATTTTCTTTGTTTCTATTGCTACAATTATTGATTTTACTGATGTGTTGTTATTAGTTAAGGTACGTAATGTCAGAAGATTTTGAATTAGGTATATACTGGTTTTTGATATAGGCAAGTAGGATGCTTATATCTCTGTAAGAGCAAATAAGCAAGTAAGAAATATGCAAATGAAATAGTGAGATGATTTATTTCGTTTTCCAGAATCATAAATAGATTTTTATTTATGTAATCTATTTTTATCTCCAATCAGCAAGATTCTTTGCGGATTAAGCAGTGAGGTTGCCACAAGACACGTTCCCTAAATACATCTTACGCATCCTCTACTTTCAACTGCATTTATTCTACTTGAATGCATTTGGATCAACATTTGTGTTAGGATCAACAGCAATGCGTATTGTATAAAGTTGTGTTTGTGCAACAAGTTTTCCCAAAGCTTCATTTAACCTATTCCAACATCCACTCTCCTTTCTATGTAAGCGGTGTACCTTCGATCCCTGCTAATACCATATCCAAAACATAGTATCACTAGCTGTATCCGCGATTCCATCCGCGTGGAATAGTAACTTTCGGCAGTATGTTTAATTTTTAGGGTATCGTACCCAAAGGGTAAAACGACACCTTACTTATTACTAAGACTTCGCTGTCTGTCGCCAGACTTTATCTCATAAAACGTGATAGTTAGATAGATAGATGAGATTTTCACAGATGATGTAGTTCTGTTGCCACTATGGCAATAATATAATAAAATAAATATTTATTCTCCCATACAACAAACATGATTTTTTGCTGTTATCAGGTTATATAGTCATGAACAGTTTTAGTTAGATAGTTAAGATTTTCGCAGATAATGTAGTTCTGTTGCCGCTATAACAACAAATACCAAAAAACAGACAAAAATAAATATAATCCCATACAACAAAAGTGATTTTTTTGTTTGTTTTTGGTACGTAACCCTTCGTGCAGGAGTTGACTCACACTTGGCTGGTTGCTTAGGCTAATTATTTTGCAAATAAAACACAGGCATTCATTACAAAATGTATTTCACGTTATTTAAGCACAAAAAATAAAGTAATGTTCTACTACTTTAGTAGATCTAAACATTCAAAACCTGTGTAGTTTTTACAATTATTTGACTTGTATACGTAAGCAAAAAAAAAATATATTAAAATTTAAAGCGAAAAAACGTCCAAACGTGCGTAAACGCATGCATGGAAAGCTTTAAAACAGTTGTAACATTATCATTGTTGCTCCACGTAGTCAATCATAGCGTGATGTCATTCAACACAAAAACAACAATTCCATTCATTCCAGTGGTTCCTGAGATTTTAGAGTTCAATCAAACAAACACTTCAGCATATTAGTATATAGGTGTGATCTAACAATAAATATTAAACATTGAGTGCAATTTATTGTCAACCAAATCGAAGCCAATGTTGTTACGCGGTAGTCCTAATATTCTTTGAGTAAATCTGTTCTGTCCCTAATATTCATCTCTTTTCGTTGATGATTCCCAATACTTATTCAATCGATTGTATTTCCGTGAAGCTAATGTTTTTCATCCTTCTCCAACACTACAAAAGCCATAAACTACTCTAGATAATCTTTTTGGATATGTAGACTGGCAATCTCACCTTGAATAGGTGTTCCTTGTTACTAAACGCTCTCGTAGCCATCGTTGCTTTCATTATTTTTATTATAACACAATAATAACATTACTACAGTCCTAATAAACACAAAAATTATTGAATACATGTAAAACAAACTATAAACTCATTATAGATACATGCATAAGTAATAGTATTTAAGAAAATTAATTAGAAAATTAGCAGGGTGTGTTTTTTCTTTTCTCAAAAACAGCGTAGTGAAGTCCAAAGTAAAGATCATATTTACATGTTCGTGTCATTCCCCTCTAGTATTTTTCTCTATAGCATTATTTAACACAACAGTGTAAAGTGTATATAGTTAGGCACTACAACAAACAAAAAAATATTAGGTGGATTAGGTATTTGGATAGAGTATTTTTATTTTGTAGGTTCTAAGACTTGTTGTAAGTCAGTCACTATAATATATTTTGACACTTCAAAAAGAAGTTATAACGTAACGTTGTACAATACGTCATTGATGTAATAGGAAAGAACTTATTATTAAGTAATGATGAGTAAGAAGAAAATGTTTTGTGTATTAAAATTAAGTATTATAGTAGGGGAGCCGAAGCGGGGATTTCGGGATTTACTAAAGCGCGGCAGATTAATATACATGGGGATACCTTGTACCCAGTTAAGTACCTGGACCAAGTATGAGCCCTATAAAAATGGCCGCCCGGCAAGGACGAAGGATCAGATTAGTAAAAAAAATTGATCATCTGAAAATCTCGAGCGCGTCAGATTAAGGTAAGGTGAGCTAGTTACATGCTAAAAGGTGTACATACCTCTAATCTGACAATTTGAAAGTGACGTAAAGAAGGGGGAAGGCTACAAAGTTGTAAAAAAAAACGTCACTTTGACATTCTCGAGCGTGGCTAATTTTTTTTTATTTTGAAGGGAATCATTCAAGGATTACGAAAAATATTAAATCTGACGATTGTCACAAGCCGAAGTAATAAAAATTCATCGATAAGATTTAATGCGTTTAAGCTACGTGATACCTATATTTCCTTCTCCGCATCACTATTTCTCTCTCTCTTTCTGTCTATTACTCTCTCATTCCATCCCCACTCTGGTTTCGGTTGCCATGACGCCATGACAGCTGATGACACAGACTCGTTCGTGGCGTGATATTGTTTACATCGTATTTCCAACGTTTTTGCTTATTTTGTTATTTTAAGAGAAGAAGAGGAAGATGATTCTAGCGATGAAGATGATAATTAATAAAAAATACTGTAAAAATTAAATTATCATATAATCATTTTCTTATAAATATAAGTATTTTACATAAAAAACATACACTTTTTTATTTGCATGCTAACTCCGGTGCTTTTTACTATCAACAGGTAAATTCTTATTATCGATCAAATATAATGGAGGATTTCCAATGATTGAAGTTATGAATATTCATATAATATAAGGAAAGTTTAATTATAGAGCCCTTTCTCTAAACTCAATGATATTAATATTAATGGGCTGCAATTTTGATTGTAATATAGAGATAATTACGACTATTACGAAGTGTTGAAAACAAATAACACATAATGATCCGCAACAGAATACTTTTTAAAATGTTTTGCATATTTTTGTTTGTTTTCATTTCTGGAAATCTTGTTAGTTACTTCAAGATGAAATTGCAAAACTTGCGTTGGTACCATTATGAAATGCGAAAAGTATTTGTTACCTGCGCTGCCTGAACTTATCAATAAAAGCAATTATTTTTCAAAATTTTCAAATATTTGCTTCAATTGATAAGTATTGAATCTTTTCAGATTTTTTTTTGTGTTAATTATACTTAAAAGTGAAAATTAATTTCTATTAAACAAAAAACAAATCTTGCACGACAAATGTAATAATCGAATAATTTGTACTTGAATTTATTTTACATCACTATTAATGGTCCTTGATATATGTCAAAAGTGACCTCTTAATTTGCGAAGACCTTAGTGCTGTTTTTGTATAATTTGTAGGTTAAAGTTAAAGTGATTGTAAACAATTTTTATTTATTTATTGGTACGTTCCAAGCACCTTTAACAAAATGAAAATTAAAAAGCAACAACGTCGGAAAAAGTATCTTCATAAACTAAATCGGAAGAGAATGAATAAAAATCAAAAAAGTACTGGGACTGTTGTATGGTATTTAAATCGATTAACATCAATTTAATTCACGTTTTTTAAAGTAATGCAATTTAGTTATTAACATATGATTTGGGTTCATTTCAGCAAAGTTATGAAAGATAATTGGGATCATAAAAAAACTACACTACGGAACCTAAAGGAAATGGGCTTAGCTAATGATCCTAATAAGGTTATAAAAATTCCTAATTTCAAGCAAGAGCAATTAAAAAAGGCCATCAAATTAGTGAAAAATTATAATTCCGAATCTGAGCAAGAAGAAAATGTTTATAAGCCTCCTAAAATAGATGTTTTGGAGAAATTGGAAAAGGAAGCAAAAGCACCTAGAGAACGAAGATTTATGTAAGTAAAAAAAAAACAAGGATGAAAAGGAAATATGGTTAAAAATGTTCATGGCGTATTATGATAGAAATTGTTTCTTACAGGTTACCGAAGGGACAGGTAGAGTTTATTACATACCTGATGGACAAATATGGACATGATTACAAAGCTATGTCTAGAGATAAAAAAAATTATTACCAAGAAACATGGAAACAATTGAGAGCAAAAATAAAAACTTTTATGGGAATCCCAAAACAGTATGGGGAGTATTTGAAATCCAGAGGATTAATAGACAAAGATAATGACAATGAGTTGAAGAAAGAAGCACAATCTTTAGTAATGGATGATAGTGATTGAATATTTGCAATAATAATACCAGTACACACAACATTTTGATATAACAATTTATTATCGTTTGGTTCCTAATATTTCTGGACATACATTCATTATGGACATCATGACCTCTGTTTCATAATTGTACCAAACATAAATACACTATTAAATCTCAAATTAAACAACTTAAGAGCTGTTTTATTATTTCAAGTAAAGTAAGACATCAACAAAGTTTTAAAAACCACCATAATAGGTATCAATAAAGACACATAGTGTTCATGATACTTTATCGTCAATATTCATTGTGTTTTACAGTCACTAGGTATATCTTTGATAGGTTTCACCTTTTTCAGTTCTTCATACCAATCTTTTTCCATTTCTAAGAGCTGCGTTGGCTTTTTATACTGTAAGAATGGTGATTAACATTTCAATTATAAAAATTTTAGATTTTGTTATTATTGTTATTAATAAGTATAACAGAAAAAAGGTTAGTTATAGGAAGCATTTCAATAATTTAATAAAGTAATTTATATGAATTAGGGAAAGCTTGTAATGAAATAGTATGTAGGTATATTGTACAATACTAATATAACATGGTCTTTAGTTTTCTTGAACTAATTACATAATTATGATGAATAGGTCCTTTGATAATATGTGATTCTGTGTGTTTATTTCTTCAGCATTATAAATAGGGGATAGCTGTTGAGATAAATGACCATTTTGAGTTACCATTATAATAAGAGTCTGATACTGATGAGTAGAAGATATATTAGCTTGTTCCAGAGGGATGTTGAGCCTCTCCAGTTCAGGAACTTTTAATTTCTTGAAATATTTTTTGTTTGTTGTTCGTACTGTAATACATTTATCATTGTTGTTGGCACTTATAGAATAAGTTTCAATAGGATAGGGTAAGTTTCTAATGCGCCATTCCAAATTAATACGGGTGTTCCTTCGAGTAACAATCGGCTGTAATTCAACAATAAGTCCTGTCAGCAAAAGAATTATATTTGGAAAAACAAAATAACATTAGGATTGTTATGATTGAATGTACCTGATCTTTACTTTCTACAATATCAACTGTTTCTATAGATGATTGATCATTTGGGATTGGATCACCAATTTCTACAGACCATTGTCCCTCTCCACCAAGTTTTCTTTTGACTTTCCAAGCCCGTCGCAATAAAACCTGAGTGTCTACATTATACTCCTCTACCATTTCTTTGTCATCATCAAACTTATAGTGAAGCTTTTTTATTTTATCTTCTTTCAAACATGATTTTTCTGCATCCATCAAAGCTCTGTACCAACTAGTGTTTTTATACATATTGACACTTTGACCGTAGTTTTTAGCAAAATTCGCTTTTAATTTCTTCTCGAAACTGTTAGTGGTATTATCGACTTCACAACAAACTTCGATCAAACTCGATTTTCTTTTCATTTTCAAATTCTGTTTGTAACCTAGAAACAAACAAACAAAATAGCAAGGGGGGGGGGGGGAGAGAGTATTATCAGATAAGAGTCAAGTATGATCGAATTTTTCGTCAAAATCGATTTTTTTGGAATCGAAATTCGTTTTTTTTGTCTTCCAGATATATCTCAAGATTGGACGTATTCACATTGGACGATAACTACATGATATCGTTTGACAAGTAGTTTCATACAATTAGGTACTATTAAATGCTTTCACATTTTGTCGTAGTCAACTTCATCGTTGCCAATAGATTTTCGAGCCGATATCTGGTGACGGACGAAGCAGTTTTTCGCCATGAATATAAAATATAAAGCTAAAATATTTTGTTCACTTCTGCCTTTATTGCCTCTTTCTATTTTCTTTCTTCCTTATTATGTTATCTTACATACACCTTTGACTTACCGCTGGCAAGCTCTCGGTTATATCGTGCGTGTCACATACCGATACTACCGGGTGATATTGTCAACTGTCACAAAACAAAATAATCGAAAATCCATATTTACTATTGTTTATGACGAATATAACTTTTAATTTCCTCATTAACTTAGAAAAAAACTGTATAATTTTGCTGTGCAGTATAGATAGACTAATAACTTTGCTTGTCAGAAAAAACCCAATCTTTACTATTAATAGGGATGAGGACTGGGTAAAAAAATAGAAAAATATATAATAGAAAAAATATAAATAGATAATAGAAAAATATTAGATACGTATGCTTTTTTACTTCAATTTAACAAGAAATAGCTTAGATAACGGGCATTAAAGTTAAGGAGTGGGGGCTCGCTACGTCACAGTTGAGTAGAAACGTACTCTAACGTGACGTCATGCGAAATTTCAACTCAATGTAACGCCGTAATTTTATGATTATGAAAAAAATAAAAAAATACGTGTTTAATATTTTTTAACACTCATCATCCCTATCAACCCAGGCAAGATTTGTTTATAGATAGTGTTTTGTTAGAATTAAAACAAAGTAGGTTTGTAATATGGATCGATATTTACTTCATTAATTTTTCCTTAATCGATTAACAATACCTAATGGAATCCCCAAAATAGTGTTCAGTACCGCCGCTGGTCGTTCATATTTTGGATTTGCATATAAAAGAGAAAATATTGCATAAATATCAACAAAAATTGATGTATATTTTTTTCTGGGTATTTACCTTAATATTGGTTATAGTATCGTATCTTTGAAGCCGAGGTTTTTTATTCACAAGATATTTTTATATCATGCGACCATTTATATCATGGCTTTTAATGTTATTTGTATAACATTACTTATTTCTTCTTTATCTCTACTGGGCCCTTAAGTAAATCACCAATAAAATATGTTGAATGTTCAATTGATGTGATGATGTGTTCTACGGCTGCATAACACATAATTGGCTTTGCCTTTTCAAATAGTAGTTTAAAAAAATCAGTGTCAAAGTGTCATTGATTTATAGGTTATATTTTATTTGTCGTTTGGTCATTTTGCTACTCAAATACAAACAACAGAGTTTTGTTTATATGAATTTTGTATTTATTCAAAATTTTAGTATATAACATGCCACGGAGTATTCCTGATAGGTATTTTTTTACACATAATTTCCATACCCAGATGGTTTTTAGGTGCCTACGTATTTAAGTAATTTGTAATTTATCATATCTTTTAGGTGGATACCATATAAGGCATGTGGAAAGGTTATTGAAGGGACAAGATTCATATGTTTCAAAGTGCCACTGAAAAAGGTATGTATTTTAAAAGGAAAGTTTGGTTAATTCGCCATAATTTATTATACATGACATTATAATATATAAAACAGTTACTCATCAAAGGCATTCGTTTGGTATGTAGGTAATTTTAATGTATGATTTTATAATTTTTTAACTATTGAACGTCTAACTGTTTTAATAGAATTATTTAATTCAAAATTATAAGACTGATCCTACGTTATAGATGTTTGTTTTTTTTCATATGTGGCGCCATCTATGTGAAATCGATCAAATCATTCCGTATTATTTGGCTAGAGTAAACGTTATTGCAGATGGCGTTATTTTTGTTGCAGTTGAAATATTATGTATAAATATTATTTTTAACGGTCAACAGATAGCGCTAGTCTTCATTAGTAAAGATTTAAACTATCAACAATGGAATGCTCTTATATTTTAAATAACATAAATAGGTAGGAATAATGGTATAAAATATACCTACTTATGACACTCGGCTTAAACTATGTGAGCTAAACAAGGGGCGTCTAGGACTAGTAGACTATCATGTACTACATGATCTAGGGCGACCAAGCCTGGAAATCTGTCTCTGAATAGGTATAGATAATAACAGCCATTTGGACAAACGTCCATTAAAAATTTCATTTGTTAAAAGCGACATTACCCATACAAATTTGACATTCATTAGAGTTTATAGGCGTAATTAAAACTTAATGGACGTTTGTGCAACTGACCGTAAGTTATTATGACGACTAAACAAGAAGATGCTTACTCATTCTTAAAACGTACAATCTGGGTCGATTGCGTTATTTTTAATGACAAAAATACAGTAGGTAACTATCTCTTACGTTATGAAGCAAGATTTAAAGAAATTTTCAAAACGCACACAAATGACTATTGCTTGCACTTCTTGTTAGTAGATTAATTTGTTTATAGTCAAAGCTGAAATATCTTTTGTGTTTTGGATAAATGTTATTTCTTGATTTAACATCTGGCTTAGTCTATAGTCTATGCTACTACTTTTAAACGAAAAGGAAAATGTATTACTTTTTAGCTATTCGCACCCGCATTATACAGTCTGTGCTAATACAAGTTCTAGCCGACAATGAGATGCATTATTGGTCCACATGTGCAACGTACAATACTTGTTTGTATAACTGTTCGTATGCCTGGGCGTTACTTGACCGTCCGCACTCCACAGTTAGATGGTAAACATAGCTCGACGATTTCTGTGTTAATTTGCTCTGCATAGCGCTTACATCGCTTTAGATATCAGAAGTTTGTTTAGATTGCCTGCCTCTACGCTTGAGATGCTCGACTTCATTATAAGTACCTATAATTGTTTAACTATCAACATGTACTTTCTACAGTACTTGTATTGAGATGTTTCATTACATTACTGTCCATACATAGTACAGTCTAAGAGGAATTGATGAGAATAACGTTAATGATTGGAAATAACCTTTATGACGGTTACGTGGACGTAACTGAAGTTTTCAATGATATAAAAACTTTTTATGAAAAATAGACTCGACTTTAAACTTTAAAAAAGTATAATAATATCTTAAAAGCGACTTATTCAAGAAAATTATATTGGAGGCGGGCGGAGATTTTTGTTAGGTTATTAATTAAAAGATAGGCGTTAGTGATATTGATATTTATATATTATAGGTAACACTAAAAATATTAAATATCTATGTAAATAAAAATATTTAACATAGTGAAAGTATAATAGGAGATTTTGTTTATTTGGTCGACATAATTTTTTCCAATAATCTTTTATAATTTTTTCCAATAATCATTATGGTCGACATAATATTCATATTTTAAAAAGGAAACATTTGATTGCTTATTTATTTTGGACCGATTTATTAAAGTCTTTAAAAGACATAAGGCTATAATTTACGCATGCGAAGTCGTGGGGAAACAGATTTTGATACAAATTGGTTCACAATTCAAGAAGAAATCGATGAATATACCTTATCCCTATACATATACTTTACTCATTGATATCTACTATCTATGACTTTCATAAAAAAATATACGACGGACATATAACCTCCTTTTCGATTTTGAAGATTTCAAAAACTTTAAATGACACATAAAATGTAAGCTCCAAAGACTTATAGCGGCGCATTTGAAAAAGATGAAATGACACATTATGATATCTAAATTATTTTAAAGTAAATAAAAGTCTTTGAGTGTGTGTAGTACTAACAGTTCTTTATTTATTGTCTAGCATTAACTGTTGACGATAAGGCTTAAGATTAAACGCGGAATTGTGCTTGAAATGGTGATCTTAACCCTTAACATATCCAACCTCTATTTACACAGTCGTGTCAAAATATTTGTACCTTATAAAAAGGAACGGTCCCGACATCGAAAACTTTAAATCCTTGTTTGATAAAACAGCGGGTGCTTACCGTTCTTACTGTACTTCGTTTTTTCTTTTCATGATAATCTCTGCATCTTTCTTTTTTTTTTCTTTTCATTTAAAAACCACTCCTTTATTCGGCTGGCGCTTTGATTCCGTTTCTTTATTCAACGGGACCAGACCATAAATTTTGATAGTTTTGTTCTGCTTGAATTATAAAGGGATATTACGTTAATGGCAATCGGTAGGGTAATTTGACACAACTAAGTTTTGAATAATCTTTAGTTATTTAGTTGAAAATCTCAACACGAGTTTTAGATTTTTACGATATTTGTTTTAAACAGTGTTGGTTCATTTGTAGATGCAGAATCTAAAGTATAGAAACAATGCTAAATCATTGATGGTTATGTTACTGAATAGTCCTATTCATGCTTTGTGAAAATTATGATGTACGGTTACATTTACGAGGGCGTAAGCTTTCATCCTAGCGGCAGATGGCAATGCTGTGTCGAGAGTTATAATAATTAGTAGGATGCCATCTACACCACGTGAGTTTTCTTTAACATGTGTGAAAGGGAAAGGTAACTTAAAATCAACACCGTCTATAGATGATTCCGTAACATGTTCCAATTTTGTATGTGTTTATTCAAAGTATAGTGAGTGTTACTGTTGATGTTTTGACTTTCCTTAGCGAAAGCGTTCGCATCGCACAGATGGCAGACGCATCAAGTTATGTCAATCGGTCAAATGCTTCTTCGATGTCAAGCTATAACAATATTTTGTTTGCGCAATATATTTTTACGATAACGATTCTAGCAGCGCTCCCAATTGGTGCAATCTATGTGATTTAAGCGCGTGTTTTCATTATGCATATACACGGAGATGTTTTATACAGCTACAACTCTGTAATGTATCTACATTCATTATTGTACTTGCAATATTTTTATTTGTATTGGTTCCTTTTATAAGCTTAGCTAGTGACAAATGTTACTGCGTCTTTTTATCTTTTATTGTGCTCTGACATATTGTATCTAGTGTCTCTTGAGAATGAATGTAAGGACACATGGACGATTCCATTTTATATTCTCAATAAAATCGGGATAAAAGAGTATTGAATGACAAATAACTGCATAAATATTGATAACAAAGTTAAAAGAAATGTCAACAATGAATTTGTTGATCCGAGTACCATGTTAACGTGTGGTCGAGAATATATATTACTATAAACATTTTCTTCTCGATTAAAAATTATATCTAAGATAACAAATTCGGAGAAGTTAAAGGAAGACTCTTCCATATTGTTGGATATTATGACAGGATGCTATAACAAGACAATATTATTATGCGGTGTAGATTTCATGGTTTGATTTCTTGTATTTTTATGAATTTACAGGAAGATTTATAAATAATATCTGAATGCTACTTTTATCCACAAAGAACAGTTTATTTTTATTTGGTTATTGTGACGTACTTCTTTTCTGACTATGTTTATAGTGTTCTGATCGGCCCAAAACGGTTCATTTACACTTTTTATAGCGCAATACTCTACAGTATCGCTGTGGAAATCAGAATCGGGAGTGGTATTGCATTTCTCTGGCCATCAGGCCGAATAAAAAAGTAATAAACTGATGACAGGCTTGGGAACATAGGGTTGTAATGTAGGTCGATATCGGCCCAACATTTTATTGGGCCGACAACAGCAAAAGCTCCAACGTTGCACTTATCGTTTATCGTGTAATGTTACACGCTCGTAAAAACACGAACTAAAACTAGCCCACGGACTCATTATAAAGTTAAAGGATTGGGTCAAATTGTCTCGTGTCTTAAATTGAATATTCATCAGAGTGTAAAGGATTTAGTAATAGAGAAGCCGATAGAGCGTCAATAACGAGTGAACTGATGGATCATTCAACTACATTGATCGACGTCTTCTAACAGGGTTCTTTGAAATAATGTACACATCACATTATCCCTTTGTTAATTACTCATATACATCTATAAGTGTCAAGTGTTTGATGTCTAGTCTTTTGATTCATCTTTTTGTTTCCTTTAAACTACCGCGTGCCTAGATTGATGTAAATCATAGCAAGGTATGTTGGACAAAAGGACTTTCTAATTCAGTTTCTCGCCTTTGTCCCTTGGACGCTTGCACCGGTTCGTTGCGACCGCACAGTTGTTTGGCATTGTACGCAAAATTACACCTCAATTATACGCAGAATCTCTGAAAAAACCCCAGACTATTATACTCCGTCCAAGGGAGGGTAATAATTTATTCCATGTCTGACTTCCGTGTGGCGTCAACCGGTGGGTTTGTGGGGTCGGTTCGGGAAACCATCTGTTTGTCACGGGACTGCAGTTTAAAAAAAATACCTTAGTTGATATTATATTCCTTTTTTATTGTCACAAAACGGCTATCAATTCTAAATGATATAAGTAGCTTGTTAAGTCCAACGTATTGCTTACATTTTCTTATATTAGTTCCTTGTGACTATTTTGTTCCGTAATAATTGGTTATTAGTAACTATGTGCTAAAATCGATTTCGCTGCTGAGTCGATTAGCAATACGCTCCGTTATCCGTGGGCAGTGTTAATCGCCGTTTAGCGAGCCATTTGATTTATTAATAGAAGTTTA